TGTTCAATGTTCGGGAAATGCCAACATGAAAAACCTATAATAGCAACAAAAGGAAGACTTAACTTTGTAAGTCTTTAATGTTTGTAATGCAACGACACACCACTGAACAAACACACTGACCCAGGAACCTATCCTTGCAACAAAGCCCGATGCCGACTCTGTCCACATAGCTATTCAAGTGACATCATCATAGGACCTAATCACATCAGCCATGCCATCAGGGGCTCATTCACCTGCACATCTACCAATGTGATATATACCATCATATGCCAGCAATGCCCCTCTGCCATGTACATTGGCCAAACCGGACAGTCTCTACGCAAAAGAATAAATGGACACAAATCTGACATCAGGAATCATAACATTCAAAAACCAGTGGGAGAACACTTTAACCTGTCTGGTCACCCAATAACAGACCTGAGGGTGGCAATTTTGCAACAGAAAAGCTTCAAAAACAGACTCCAACGAGAAACTGCTGAACTCGAATTGATATGCAAACTAGATACAATCAACTTAGGCTTGAATAGAGACTGGGAATGGGTGAGCCATTACAAACATTGAATCTATCTCCCCATGTAAGTATTCTCACTCTTCTTATCAAACTGTCTGTACTGGGCAATCTTGATTATCACTTCAAAAGTTTTTTCTCTTACTTAATTGGCCTCTCAGAGTTGGTAAGACAACTCCCACTTTTTCATGCTCTCTGTATGTGTATATATATATCTCCTCAATATATGTTCCATTTTATTCATCTGAAGAACTGGGCTGTAGCCCACGAAAGCTTATGCTCAAATAAATTTGTTAGTCTCTAAGGTGCCACAAGTACTCCTGTTCTTTTTGCAGATACAGACTAACACGGCTGCTACTCAAACAGTGGTTTGAGCATTGGCCTGCTAAACCCAGGGTTGTGAGTTCAATCCTTGAGGGGGCCACTTAGGGATCTGGGGAAAAATCAGTACTTGGTCCTGCTAGTGAAGGCAGGGGGCTGGACTCGATGACCTTTCAAGGTCCCTTCCAGTTCTAGAAGATAGGATATCTCCATTAATTTAAATTTAAATTTGGCTCCATACAAGCAGCTGTAGAACTACAACTTGTCTACAAATAGCTTTAAAAAAAAAAAAAATCACACACACAAGCCACAATGCTCACGCTTTCCTGGAAAGTCACTGTAATTAATATTTTCTCAATCTGCACAGAAACATGGCAGATTTTTAAAAAGCTGATATTGGGGAAAGGAGAGAGAGTCTCAGCCCCAAAAAATCCTCAACTGAGGAACAGTCAGCTTTACGAGGGAAAGAGTTTTTAAAATAAGGAATTCAACACATTAACATTTTGGAATTGTAAATGTTTATGTAATGACCTTCAATGCTAATGACTCAGTGAAATACCACTAGCAGAAAGCAGCCGTACTAACAAAGTGTAATCTGGTATCCTGCAATGCGTACAGTTATCCCATATGCTATCTATCTACATATGCTCTTTAAGTTTTTCATTTGCTAAAAAAAAGCAAGTTACAGAGAGAAGTGTGGGTTGGGACCCAACTTCAAATATCAAAACAGCAACTTTTAAATTCTCATTCTTGTGATTAAAACAAGCTTGCAGGAGTAACAATGTAGGCTTTTGAATGCCACTCTTGGAGGGAAAAAAAAAAAAAATCAGTCAAATTAACTTGAGCTGTGTGGGTAATTGGCTTATTTCTGAAGACTTGCATTTATGTGGCTCTGTGACAAAGAATATTAAGATAATTTGTAATATCTTAGTAAATTTCACCTATTGATTTAGTCCTCTTCCCAAAACACTGATTTCCCCACCCTTCCTGTTATTTTAGTGGAGCTGCAGTCCAAGCTGTGTTTTGTTTGCTTCCTTGATAGTGCACTAGTGCTGTGCACCTGAAAAAAAAAAAAAATTCCAGAGAATGGCATTCATCAAGTTATAGATTTCAAGGGAGTTTAGAGATACTTGCACCTGAAGTCACATGTGCAATCCATTAAAGTTAAAGATTCTTCTTGTACATATTTAATAAAGTAGATGTGGCCAGAAAGTCTGACTAACATTTTAATAAAAACTCTTAACTAGCTCTAAAAGAAACTGAGGACATTTCTTATTTCTTAGACAATGGAGATACTTAAGTGAGCCTCTGTCCCTAAAGCAGAAGTCAAGTCTCCCTTCTTTCAATGTACGGGGTATTCCAGGATCCGAATAGTACCATTGTAAACATGCTAAAAATAGATCTTTGAACTATATGGAGAATGAAGGGCCACGCACACTGACTACAGCTAGTTTTCCAGCCACATAAGGAGATATCAGGTTCCTGAACTCTATGCCTCACATGGGATGACAGATAAAGGAAGATGTGTTTGGAATGAAGGATGGATAATCTGAAAGAGGTTATCATGCCTGACATGAGATTAGAGCCCATAAATAGCAGGTGGGCTGTTCAGCTGGCAGTATACTGAACAGAGTAGAGATGGTTGCAGTCTGTGGCCCATACTGGAAATCTAGATAGGGTAAGCATGTAAAAGTATGTCTAGCTCATAGGTAAAAGGTTAGTAGGGATACATGATCAGAATAGGTGTTGAGTGGATTTTAGAACCATGATTTGAGTTCTAGTTTGTGTTTTAAAATGTTAGAATAGTTAAAAATTTAAGAGGCACAGCATTCTCAACTTAACGATAATTAAGTAGAGTCAAACTTTAATATTTGAAAATAGCTTGTTAGGGAAAATTTGACTGTTGATTAGCATTGTGTTACATATTTCGGTATTAGTCACAAAAATTAGCCAACACCATACGGCATGGTTATGTCTGATCCCCTGCAGAAGCTGGAGTGAAGAGCTGAGAAGATGTGCCATTTTTAGAAAAGTCACATTAATATACAACTAGAGAGAACAGTATGAGATTACATCAGCAATATGGTGGGCTGTGCAAAACCTCACATCAAACAGGATTTATGCCAACACTAAACAGATTGTCAATGAACTGAGTAAGCCAAGCATCCAACCATGCTATCTGGATCATTATAACCTAGTAATTATACGAAGTTCAGAACATACTTCTAATCCCCCCCACCCCCTGCCATTATCTGCACAGAACCTGCTGCAAGTCAGTTTGTAAAGTGGCTATTAGGACAATACCAAGGATTTATGAGGGGGAGCAATACAATCATAAACACTCAGAGCCTTGCCTATAGACCACATTCTGTACCTGCATCAACACCACCATAACCAGTGCCATAGCTGACAATGGTAGTATTACTGCAGATAAGGGTCAAAGCAAATGGTCTTGACAAAGTATAAGACTGTTTAGCCAAGTCTACAGAAATATCACCATTATCAATAATTGTAGACAAGACTTTGGAGACTGAAGCGATCCTATTATACCGATATCGTTTACCTCTAGGTCTGGGCATGTACAGAACATATTAGTATTAGATAAAAAGGTTTGATGCTCTTGTGATTGTCACTTCTCATTGAAGAAAATTATTTCACTGATGTACTGTCACTGCAGTGCACGTTTCTGCTCCATTTCACCAAATACTGCACTTAGGCTGCAAAATACCCAATTCAGAAGATATTTAAATTACAGCAACTGCTGTAAACTGTGAAAACTTTGCCTGTTGATTAAAACTTTCAGTTAAAGGCAGTAAACATTCTGATCAGTTTGAAGACATCTCTGATAACAGTATCATGTTGAATCGGTACAATGTTTATGAAGAAAAAACATTTGTGTGGTGTCTATCATCACTTGCAGTTGTTAATCTTAATTTGTTTCTCCTCTAGAAGCCACCTGTATCACTTTCCCTAGACACTTGTTTCTGCAAAAGAAGTCTGTTAATTAGCATGTGAACTAGTCTCTTTGCTCCCCAACATACTTTACTAACAAGATGCTTCATGTCTAGAGACTTTGCCTGATAAAATAAACAGCCCAGCTAAACAAATTTGAAGTCCGCTGCGTTTGCAGTTTTAAATACACCAAAACTTTGGACTATTGCAAGGTTATCAAGAGAGCAGAGCCCAGAAGTGCTGTATCTACTAAGTTTGAAATATACTGCAGGCAGATCAGTAAAATGTACACACCAGGATCTCCTGGCTATTCACTGAGGCCTGTGGCATATGAAAATGCTATGCTGGGCGCACGCTGATGCTTTTCGTCAGCAAAACTTTTGTCGTTCGAGGGGTGGTGTTTTTAAGACAAAGTCTAAGTGAACAAGTGATTACTCTGATTAGAAATAGCACTATTTGTGACAGAGAATAGAAGACTTTTGGGGAGCTTTTGAGAAAAATCTTAACAGGTTTACCATATAGTAAATTTGAAGATGCAGACAGCTTTCACCCTATTACACATTACTATTGAAATATATGCAGCCCTCACTCAGTATAACAAGTCAATATAAACATTTATTGAGTGAAGACACCGCTGGTGAAACACTTCATTAGGAAATTGCAGTGGCCACTAGTAACTGCACAAACCACACACTTAAATTCAGAACATTTAGGAATCTTGGATGAGATTACAACTATAGGTATATATGATGTATTAAATATACACTTGAAGTATAGTTTTAACACTACACAGCATGGAAGCTAAGTGTTCTCTAGCCTTCACTTTATAAGAATACTTAGTAATGCTCACATTGTATTACTATATTAAAATTTAAAACTGCTTATGTTGAATCTAATTTTAGAAGCCCCATTAAAAAGTCATTGATGGACCTATCCTCCATGAATTTATCTAGCTCTTTTTTGAACCCTGTTATAGTCTTGGCTTTCATAACATCCTCTGGCATGGAGTTTCACAGGTTGACAGATCATTTAGAATGGACAACTGCTCAGTTTTCAGTATTATATTTGATAGATAACACTAGCATTTTGCTCACTTGAGACCAGAACAAAGAAAAATGAAAGACAATAAAGAAAGAAAACTATCACATGATGAGATGAGAGACTAAAGTACAGGATAAAAGTCAAGGTAAAGATTTGAAGGTTCTTAAAATACACTTACCTTTAAATTTTGACCGAATGTTTGCCAGTTCTTTGTTTATCCTCTTTATCTCTGCTTCTTTGCTTTTGCCTGAAATCAAGACAATTTACATCAAGGTTCAGCATTTCAAACAGCTCCTAATTTGACTATAAATTCTTTCAGCACAGCTTTTTCAACTCACCATTCACTCACTAAAAGTGGGGACATTGGTAGAATCTTTTTTCCCCCCACAGCAATAATAGACTACAAAGTGAACACCAAGTGTAGTACATTAACATCTTCTGGGGAATGGAAAGCCTTTTTTTAATTAAAAAAATTAAAAAGGTTTATCACTCTGCTCTCCCACATTAAAGTGTCCAGAGAACAAAGTTTCAGAGTATTTGACAAATAGCCAAAAGTTAAAAAAAAAAAAAAAAAAGGTCTGATTTTTAACCTATTACTTAGACCAGGGGTAGGCAACCTATGGCACGGGTGCCAAAGGCGGCACGCGAGCTGATCTTCAGTGGCACTCACACTGCCCAGGTCCTGGCCACCAGTCCGGAGGCTCTGTATTTTAATTTAATTTTAAATGAAGCTTCTTAAACATTTTAAAAACCTTATTTACTTTACATACAACAATAGTTTAGTTATATATTATAGACTTATAGAAAGAGACCTTCTAAAAATTTAAAATGTATTCCTGGCATGCGAAACCTTAAATTAGAGTGAATAAATAAAGACTCGGCACACCACTTCTGAAAGGTTGCCGACCCTGACTTAGAAGAAAAATCATGCATGGCATAATTTTCAAAATAAGAAGTCAGTGCTTTCGAAAGGTTTACCTATAATTTATTTGCATATAGTTTTCATGTGTGTGCTGCTCTTTTACAAAAAGGGGGGCGGGAAATGAGATCAGACATGTAAGAAATAGAAAAATGAAATTGTAAAAAACAAATTGGAGCGTGAACTCCCGGATATATATATAACAAACAACTTTTAACTCATTTTTAAAATCTAATCAATAGTTTGATTTTGCCCTCTGAACTCTCCCTGAGCAATTCAGTTACCGAGCAATTGTGGTCTTAAAACCTTCTACCATTACTCCTGAAGTCCTTAAAAAAAATAAACCATTTAAACTTAAATTCTTGTTATTAAGTGGCCATTAATGATCAGTAGGCTTGTGTGCCCTATCTTTAACTTGCATACTTCCATATCATTGTTCTTTTGATCAAACATTTACAGGGCCACCCAGAGGATTCAGGGGGCCCGGGGCAAAGCAATTTCGGGGGCCCCTTCCATAAAAAAAAAAAGTTGCAATACTATAGAATACTATATTCTCGTGGGGCCCCCTCTGGGGCCGGGGGCAAATTGCCCCACTCCCCCCTCCCCCGGGTGGCCCTGAACATTTATAGCATAAATAACTAAATAAATAAATAAAAAAAAAAAAAAAAAAAAGATTTGAAGTTCCTTACAGTCTAATGACACTACAAGTTCATGAGTTTGCTTTACTATCATTGGAGCTTACACAGCATTTTTCTGCTCTGCAGCAGCCTGCTTGCTTAATGAGAACAGGAATAAAGAACTTTAAAAAGGAGCATGTTGATGATGAGCCAATATACTACTTGCCTACAAAAGCAGCAAGGCATAGCTGTGGGAGGACTTGCATTTACACCCTAGCAATAGGAAACTGCTCTACCAGCTGTCAAAGGAGTATTTAGATTTCATTTTGTAATACTTTTTTTTTTTTAAACAAGCTATAAGTCAAATATTTTCTCCTTAGAGGAGAAAAAAAATACACAGAGACGTTCAGGGAAAGTGGCTGTGTTTTGACATTTAGGTGATGATACATTTGCCTACCCCAAACAAAATAATTTAAGTTTCACAAACACATAACTGTACACAGCAATCAGTACACTAGCTTTTGGGTTCGGTCTTTCAACAATATCAAACAAGTACATGGAGTTATAGTATTGTGTTCACTTCAACTTTAGTTACTTCCTATGATCAACTGGCTGAGACTTAACCAAGGCATGACTGAGGTAATGCTTGCATGTGAAGGAAAGCAAATGGAAGAAATGACAAAGACCATTTCAGCTCCTTTCACTGGAGACGTGGGCCAACAATTTGTATCGTAAATTCACATTTAGAAGGCTGCTTGGGTCTTCAGCTTCAGATTTCCAGGAAGCAGCAGTAGCCAACACTACTCCTGCCCTCACTCATGTGCATTTAGCTAGAACGCCCTGACCCAGGGCCCATGCTTTCTTTGTAGTCACATTGCTGCACAGTTTATTGCACAATTCACTAGTTTTCAAGAGTGCCACAAATTTAATGCTGACCACATGGAGCATCAAAAACTCCCTCTGCAGCAAGGAAGGCAATAACTAGTAATGCAAAAGAATGTATCCAGACAACGGACAGACGGGAGATACCCAGGGTAACTGGTTGTGCAGGTGAGGGAGCTAGGGCCAGGAGGAGGTTTCCAATGATACTCCTGCCTTTGAGGTTAGTAGAATCCCAAGGGCCAATACAATTCAAACCAGCTTTTTACCTTTTATTTAAATGCAAGGTTCAGAGGAACTAAAAAAGTTGTGGAACTTTACTACAGGTTCTGCAAATACCTGAAAGTGATTAAGACTAAAGGAAAATTCAGTTCTGCCATCAATACATCTGTTACCAGGGCCGTCCTTACCCATATGCAAACTACGCAGCTGCCTAGGGCACCAGGAAATATGGGGCAATTTGGGCAAGGCTGGGAGCCAGGGGAGCAGAGCGGAACAGGCTGGGGCCAGGTCGCCCCACTTCCCGCTGCCCCATGAGTGCGGGGTCGGGCCCGCCCTGCAATCACCGGGCAGCAGGAAGTGGGGCAACCCAGCCCCAACATGTCCCGCCTCCCAGCACGAGCCGGCGGAGCGTTTCCCCCCTGCCCACCAAGCCTGCTCCTGCCCCCCACAGACCTTGAGCACAGCCCCCCACCGGAGGCCTGAGCCCAGCCCCCCAACCTGTGGGGGGGCTGCGTAGGGCACCACAATGTCTAGGGATGGCCTTGTCTATTACATTAGAATAATGAAAGCACAGAATGAGTAGTATGTGCACTGGTGCTTTCCTACTCTGTACCAACAAAGGGTAAACAAAACACAAGTATATAAAGCAAAGTGTAGCAACAACTAGGTAATGTGACTTATCCCATTGAAGGTTCTGTTTGCCATTTTGACAGTAGCAGCTGTGAGTTATTATGTGGCTTTTCATTCTGTAAGATACAGAGTGCTTTACGAAGAAGCTACACCTAGCCCCATTTATGCACCAAAATCCTGGTGAAGTCCAGGCAAACGTTGGGAGGGAATGCTTCCATTAAACAGCACAACAATGCAGGAGGACAGTTAGCTTCAGATTTCCAGGAAGCAGCACTGCTGACCAGGCCATTAGAAGTCCAGTCAGTGGCGCGGCGGGACTAAGACAGGCTTCCGGCCTACATTGGCTTTGTGTGGCTCCCAGAAGCAGCGGCATGCCCCCACCCCCCACCGCGAAGGGGCAGCCAGGGGGCTCCGCACGCTGCCCCTGCCCCAAGCGCCAGATACGCAGCTCCCACTGGTGGGGAACCACGGCCAATGGGAGATGCGGGGGCAGCGCCTGTGAACGGGGCGGCGCGCACAGCTGCCTGGCCACGCCTTCGCATAGGAGCTGGAAGGGGGACATGCCACTGCTTCCAGGAGCTGCTTGAGGTAAGCACCACCCAGAGCCTGAGCCCCTGACCCATCCCACGCCCCAACCCCCTGCACCAGCCCTGATCCCCCTACTGCCCTCTGAACAACTCTGTCCCAGCCCAGAGGACCCCAAATCCCTCATTCCCAGCCCCACACCCCCAGGTGTAGCCCTCACCCCGGTGAAAATGAGTGAATGAGGGTGGTGAGAGTGAGTAACAGAGGGAGGGGGGATGGAACTGGGGTGGGGCCTCAGCGAAGGGGCGGGGCAAGGATATTCGGTTTTGTGAGAGTAGAAAGTTGGCAACCCTACCTAATCGTTACCTTTAAGAAAAGGCTTGGGATTTTTGTAGTGCAAGAACAAAATAAAGACAGGATGGTGTGAGAGGAAAATGATTTAAGTAACTGGGATTACAATAATTTTAAAATATGGCAACTAACAAATGAGACTATTTTAAGGGCTTATGTATTGAAGTCTGAATTGTGTTGAAATTTCCCTAGTAAGAAACCCTCCTGTAGAGAAGAAGGCTTTTGGTCTTTAGTTACGTGGTCCTGTTTTCAGCAATCCAACTTGTTTCCATATGACCAGAATTGTGGAAAAAGTGTTAAAACAAAGAGCTAGTATTCATGTAAATTTCAGTGACTACTGACAAAAAGCTGCTGGCGCGCCATTTATCTTTTACAAAGGGGAAGAGTAAAATGCTGACCTTTAAGACCTGAATAATTGAGTCACAAGAGATTTTGCACTTCCTTTGAAAGTTCATCTAGATAACTAGGCACCACTGAATACCGACATCAGTCTGAGATATCACTACATTTATTGTTTCTATGAGAGGCAGCAGGAAGAAAATAAATACCTTGCTCTTGTATAGGCAAGTCTACTACGCTTTTATAAAAAGAGAAGTGCAAAATAAAGACTCAATAGCAGAATATTTAGGAATATGTGTAATTAAGATTAGAGAAACTGAACACTTTCTATAACATCTTTAAACTATCTCACCCCACTTTAAACAGAATTTAACATCAACATTACAATACAAAAAATGAGTGTGTGGGTTTTACATTACATAGATACAGAAATTAAGACAAGAGATTTAATTATGTGCTCCAGGTCTCACTCAGAGCCTGGATGGAGTCAGGATCTTAATTTCAAGTTTGATGCTTTAACCACAAAAAGCTATCCTTCCCTGCCCCTAAAGAATACTTCAAAAAAGGCTTTTTACCTATTGGGACTCATGCCTAGGAAATGGTTTTTATTTCTCTAGAGGCAGTTGACTACAAAAGTATCTAAGCATAAGGAAAGTTGTACCAAAATACTTCATGCATTTGTGATGCCAGCAACCCTTGAAGGGGGGAGAAAAGAAAACCTACCAGACTACATTCTCACCAGAAAAAATGACTATTTCTCAGTCT